TCCCACCCCATACCCACCCCCTCCTCAGGTCCTCACCACGCCATTGTCTGTGCCCTTGGGTTATGCATATAAATTCTTTGGTTGATCTCTCCCCACCCAGCCACTCCTGCCTTCCCTCTGAGATTCGTCAGTCTGATCCGTGCTTCCCTGTCACTGAATCTATTTTGTTCATCACTTTATTAAGTTCTTTAGATTCTTTTAACCAGAATTTGAGAAAACTCAGTGAGGTCAGAAAAATACATCTGGGTTCCTTGTAAGGAGATATCATTTTGTTGTTTGAAAACAAAAGTGTAGTTTTTCAAATAATTAGGTAAAGGTAGAGCCTAAATGCTCTTGCTCTCTCACCAATACGTAGCCCCAACGGAGAGGCTTTAAAGAAAATTTTTTTAAGTTAAGTATTCTATTTTTAAACTGTCCAGTTTGTATGCTAATGAGAACACATTTTGAGGTCACCCTAAGGAGGCAAAAATCAGAAGGCTCCTGGTGCTCAAATACCCTCAACACCCAGTCCAGGCTCTGTAGTAAGTGTCTGAAGTCAGACCCTGGCTATTGCATTATAAAAATAGACCAGGTCCAAGCTGAAAATGCATACAAAGAAGCCTTGTACAGCATTTCCAGGCAGACATCCTGTGATGTTTTTTCTGGGTAGTAGGTGTTGTTCTGAAGCCAGATATTGTTTTTTTTCTTTTCACCGTGAAAGAGTTTAAGGACGGAAGGCTGTCAACATAATATGCTTTAGTTGAAATAAGACAAATAAGGTAAAATTTGAAAATGTTTAATTTGGGGCCCATCTTATTAAAGTTTTTGGTTTTGGGTAAATTCATCTTGAAGAAGAAAACATCTAAATATTTTTATTTTGTTGAGGGACTTGACCAAATACATTGCATCTCTCCCTTGAACCAGTACCTGGGAAAGTTTTATGGGTTTGGGATAATACTCAGCTTATTTTTTAAAATGAACCCCATGAGAAAGTATAATTTCTAATGTTATCTGTGAAGAATGAAATAGTTGTCCTTTTATTTTCTTTGTAGAACTAAATAAAGTTTCAAGTAAAATGAATTCTGAAGCATTGCTTACTACTAATATAGTGCCAATGTACCAGAGTTTTCAAGGTAAAAAATAACTCTACATCTCATAATTTCAGTGAATTTCTGTATGTATACATTGTGTGTGTGTGTGTGTGTGTAATAGCTATAATTTATATGTAATAAGAACTGCTCTAAAATAAATGACTAAATATCAAATACATCCTTATTGGGTTTTTTGACTTTGAGAATTCCAGTATATAAAAAATTCTACCAGTATTAGAATTATGGTGTATTCCAATATCTATTATTCAATATCTATTTCTCTTTAAATGTTTATAAACATTTTTGGTGAAAAAAGTATATAATGTTTTTTGTATTTTACTAAGTTAATATAGTCTACTAACATTAACTTTCAGTATGTGTCCCAATTTAACTATTTGGAACTTCCTGATAATTGTTTTTAATCTCAAAATGCATAGATTTTATATCATGATTAATTATTGCAGCAGTTGGCTTTTACAAGAATAAATGTGTACATTTACACTTCATGTGACATTGGGAATTTTAAAATATAAGACCATACAAGGAGATTTTTATTCTAATTTACAGCTAGAATACTTGTGAAATTCAGATATTGAAAATAAATCTAAATAGGCTGACTTGTTTCTGTTCACGATTTTTTTTCAATGCTTAATGATGGCATGTGACCATAAGTTCATGACTGACTAAAATACAGTTGAATTAAACATTTGTATATAAGCCTTTCCAAAGGCCAAAGCTGAATAGTGAATTTTTCGCCTCACAAAGCCTGAAGCCAAACTTGACGTTTATCTCTAATTACTACAAATGCTCATTTTGAATCGTGGTGCTGATTTATTTCACATGGCAGCACTGTTCCTTTGAAACGGCACTGTCCTTTTGTTTCAGTTATCTGGCGCTACTTTCATGGCACCCTCCTGCCAAGGTATGCTGAAGAAAGAAACGGCGTCAATGTGGTCAGCGGCCCTGTGTTTGACTCTGACTATGATGGCCATTATGACGCCTCGGGGACTCTGAAGCAGTAAGCACGTATTTCACTCACTCTTAACAACAGCCATCATGTGGGATTACCTCCTGGATGAGTCAGCAGAACCTTTCCCATTCAGATTTATGTATTCAGCATTTCTGATTACACTGGAAGCCCCTTGAAATATCTGATTCATTTTACTGTTTTACTCAGTGTTCAGTAAAATATTTTTTTAGATGGAAGGAGTAGTGCTCCTCCACCACTTAGCTCAGATGAGTAATTCTTGAGCTCCGATGGAATACTGAACTCTGCTGTTGCTAGAAAGTGTTTAAAATCTCTGTGTGTGTCTAGGATACTATCTTAATTAACATACTTCCAGTTAGAAGATGAAGAACCATGGTATAGCTAGAGGCATCTTGAGTAAAGGAATCAACAGGGTTATAAAGCTGTAGGCCTTGGGTGAATGTCACAGCTTTTACCCAGCTCTGGCTGGAGGGGAATGGTAGAGTGACCATCTTGAGAAAACCATCAAGTGGGGCTGCTTTTATAAAGGAGATGTGGAGAACATTTTAGAGATGGGTTGATCTTTATAGACACAGTAAGATTTTTGAAGCAATTTTGCTATCAAGGCTATGAGAAAAGGGACTGAAAGCTCCACCGAGATTGAGGCCCTTTCAGAGAACGTCTCTCGTAGGCTGACTTAGGGATTACTGTTTACACACGTGTGTCTGTCACCACATTAGTCTATAAAATCGCAGTGTTTTACTAATATCCCTTGAGGCATAAGATTCCCCCGTAACTGCCTCATAGACCACAGCAGTAAAATGGGTAAAGAAAACAACTTCATACCTTTCCCAGTCACAGCTTCAACCAGAACTCTCTGGTTTAATGTGTGTTACATATTATGGTTCTCCGTAAGATTGTACTTGAAAACAAGGACCCCACTACCTTAAAAACCAAGCTTTGAGGCCAAAGGAAATAGAATTAAGATGAGACAGAGGTGTTACTTGGGATATCTTCGAGAATATGCTGCAATTAGAAAATATAAAGTTCTTGGTATAGGAAAGAAAATTCAGTTAAAACAGAGAATTCACAGCAACGTGGCTTCTCTGAAGGAGGTGGAATAAAAGAATCTGAAACCAGTCCTCTGTCCACTGTCCACAACTACACAGAGTTTGACAGACTATCAACAATGCTTTGGTATCTTAGTTGTAGGTATTCAAAAATATTTGTGTCTCAATTCCAGTGTGTTAAGGTAGAATTTTAAAAATTCCAAATGCAAAAAATTTCTATAGAAAATAAAAATGTTTTGCATTGAGTTTATCTGACTGTCTTCTAATTCTTACTCTCGATCTGGCAGAACAGGTTGAGGTATTAGGATTATTAACTTCTTATAATACACTTAATTATTTGACTGAATTTTATTTTTAGATATGTAGAAAAAAATGCATCACTGAAATATTCATTAAAAGGAAGATAGTTATTTCTTTCTTAAAGTGAATATTGTCATATTTTACAGAAACAGCAGACTCATCCATAATCAAGAAATTTTGATTCCCACCCACTTCTTCATTGTGCTAACAAGTTGTAAAAATACATCCCAGACTCCCTCACAGTGTGAAAACTTGGACTCCTTAGCTTTCATTTTGCCTCACAGGACTGATAACAGTGAGAGCTGTGTGGTAAGTAGCCTTTATTAATTTACCTTAAACATTGAAAATACAAATATATTTGTGTCTGTTTTACATCTAACATTACTGTGGGAGGACACATAACACGAATATACATATACTTTGAAATTACAGGATGATTTAAAATTTGATCCTGAAGAGACCTCCCTTGTCTATTGAAAACACTCAAAATCACATCAAAATGTAAAAACTGCATGTCTTTGTATGGCTTGTCCACTAAATTCTAAGTTTATTTGAAGTATGAACTTATTTTTGTTTCAAAACTGGATTTATAGTTCCAAAAGTGCCTCACTGTTATAAATTAGTGTTAAAGTTGTGATTAGACAACATTTCAAATTAATTTTCTATATATCACTTTATGATAAAAATAATGTTTGCTCTAATGATCTTTTCTTATATTGTCATTCACATATTTGGGAATAATTGTTTTATGTTATCTTATTTGCTCAGAATTTTAAAAAATCTAACTGCAGTCTTTGAACATCAAAACTGCATTAAAATTTTAGCAGTTTTTTAGGTTTCCCTTATGGTGAGTCAAAATGTTTTGTTCAGAGTACTTCCCAGATATCCTAGTTGGTTTTGTCTTTTCTTTTTCTTTTTTGAAGTTATACAAAGTTAAGTCTAGACCTAAATTGGCAAATTTATTTGGCTTTTCTACCAGTCTCAATGGATTGGTGGTAGACACCTGGAGTCCTGTGGTCCAAAGGATCTTGAGGCCCACTCTGAGCTTGGCTGGAGAGAGTGCTGTGATCACTCATTCGTTTTGTCCCTTCACTCATTCTTTTATGCCTTCTTTGATACAATTATTCTTTCCTTTAATAAATATTTGCTGCCAGGTGCTCTAGGAACTAAGGACATAGAAGTGAATGAAACAGACAGTAGTCTCTGCAGTGGGCCCCAGAGTGGAATACAGTCACCCATTTGCCATCCCTTAGTTTTTCTGCGCATCGTTCATTAAAATTGATGAGGATATGTCTCTCTTTAATTGCTTCTCTGATAAACTTTCAGAATCAATTCGCCATAGAACACATTTCTCATTAAGTTATTTTTTTCCTTATACTTTAGAATTTAGTGCAGAATAGCAGAATTTTAACTATTTGGAAGTCTGTTGGGCATCTAACTCTGCTAACTGGTCAGTGTTGCGGCTGCTGTTGGACTCATACCAAATATTTCCTTTTTCATTGCTTTCTCTTCCATGAGAGATTAAATTGTCATTAAAGGTATCAGTTAGTGTTGTGTTCTACAGCAAATAACAGAGAACCTGTTTCAGTGACTTGAGCAAATAGGAGGTTCCTCATGTAATAGAAAGTCCAGAGGTAGACAGTCTTGTTAGCAGCACCATTAGGGACCCAGACCTTTCCTGTCTTTTTGTGCCACTGTTTTAGCATGTGGCCCATGTGGGCTATAACGATGGCTTCTACTTCTGTAGGTGTTGTGTCTGAATGTTGGGCTCTACCCCAAAAAAGAAGTCAGCAGCAGACTTATGCTTACATCTCATTGACCAAAATGATGTTAAATGCCATGAGTTAGGAGTTGAGTTCCTTTTCCATCTCTACCATTCCAAAAGCTATTGTACAGATATCTTAAATACGAACATTTTTATCAAATTTTATAATGACAATGCACCTAGAAGATGCAAAGTATTGGACTTGAACTAGGGAGAGAATTATTTGAAGGTGTATTACACATACTTACTCTCTTTCATCTCTGAAGTAGTGACAAAGGGTTAGCTGGCTATTGTCCTGAGAGAACAGATGCCTTATGTGTACTTATTATATATGCCTATAAATGTTGGAACAGATGGCAAATATCTACTGGCCAGTAGTCTACTGAGGCAGGGCTGTTACCTTGAGAGCCAGAAGGAAGACATTTGCAAAGAAGCAGACTGAGTGGGGCAGCAGAATTTAGTAGTGGATGATTGGAGGCTAATGGGAAAATGGAAATTATTGGCCCGTTCCCCTTTTATGTGAAAAGTCTATGTTTATCATTTTCAATAATAATGTCCTAAGGGTACATGATCAACCTTATTGAAGGATGTCTTTAAAGTACAATCATAGCCCACCAACCGGTGTATACTTTCTTCATCTGACCTTCTCCAGTAGCTGTTTTCAGAAAAATTTACTCTAGTACATGAGTGTGCGATTTCCACCTGTTACCTGCTTCTATCACTGCTTCCATGTGCCAGAGCAGAGCATATACCTTTAATTCTTAACTAGTTTCATATTAGCTAAGACTTCACTACTTCACCAGAAATGATTGTGTTTTACCACTTTTCTTAACCCTTTCTTCACTGCAGCTATGTACATAACTGATTCTGATCAAGAGCGAGGGTTTGTATTGTGCATTTGCACACATCATTACATCAGACCCTCAAAACAACCCTGTAAGGAGGGTGCAGGTAATAGAATCAGGATTCAGATGTTAAATAACTTGCCTCAGTTTACCTGGTAAGGTGATTGTAGAACCAGGATTTCGATCCTAGTTTCTTTATGTTAATTCCCATATTATTTCTACCATCCCATGCTGCTTCTGTTTTCCAACATTTTTTAACTCTACACCATGGAAATTTCTTGCACCAATGCGATAAATGAGCACCTGGTCCAGGTATACTTTCCCCAAATTTGATACGTTTAATTAAACAAACATACATAGTATATATTAAATGGTAAATTACTCAAGAGCAGGGATTATGCTTAAGAAATCATGTGGCTTCTGCTATTTGGGAGTCGAAGTGTCAAAGCCAATTAAAATGGGGGACATGGAGAGCTTGTAAGGAAAGTGAAATGATTTTTCCAGTGACTTTCCTTCTTTATTTCCCACCCTCATAGCGTGGGAAGCATGAATCCTCATGGGTTGAAGAGTTGTTGAAATTACACAGAGCTCGGATCACAGATGTTGAACATGTCACTGGACTCAGCTTCTATCAAGAAAGAAAGGAGCCAATTTCAGACATTTTAAGGTTGAAAACACATTTGCCAACCTTTAACCAAGAAGACTGATATTTTTTTTATTCCAAAAACACGCCATAAATATATTTGAAAGAACCTTCTATTTTATACAGTCCTCTGTTCACATTATTGCATTGTTTGGAAACTGTCGACCAGAGTTAGAACTGGGACTCCTCTGTGATATAACCATCTCAGGGAAACGTGTGGCCTCAGCGTAGCAGTAGGAAAGTGTTCCTATTAAGTCTCACACATGTTTGAATGTGTAAGAATTGTTCAAATTTGGGAATAAAGATAGACCAAACCTAAAACTGCTCTTCTACTTCTCTTAAAGGCAGAAGTAGCCTGTGAACATTGTCTGGATACCAGATATTCAAATCTTATTATCATTAATAAACTTTTATGGAGCTGGCAACACCAGCTGTATGGATAGGATTGGCATAATCCATGTTATGTTAGTGTCATCACAAGAATTTCTTGCTTCTTTTAAAGGTGGATTTTGAAACTTCACTTATTTTAGTTTTAATCAGAAAAAAATTAATGGAAACAAAATATTTCTGAGGTTCTCAAAAGCCAAAATATGTAATCCTGTGTTGTTGATTGTTATTATGATTGAGCTTCTTCAGATTTAGTGGCTTTAATAAGTTAAACTTTGAGGGAAGATCTGTGAATTGAGTACATGGATATTTATAAAATTTTGCTCTACATTTGTACCGAAAAAGAAAAATATTCCCATCCTACTCACTGGTAATTAACACAGGTTGAGAACAGCTCTCAGAGTGTTTTTTTTAGACTGTTAAAAATGTCTTATCTTCGTGAAACTTCAGAGAACCAGTCAACTCATGCAAGGTGGCATTTTTCATCGAGATGGTAGGAATGTTTTCCTCTGTATACAAAAATGACCCACCAGCAACTCTTCTGTGCTGAGCTGTTCATTTAGAAGTTCCATAGATTTGAAGAGAACATGTTACCAGCCCTTCATATCTATGTGGTGGTCATGATAAGTGAACTTGATTTATTCATTGCATAGACTATATCCTTTAGTGCCAACCTGTGAATCTTCAAAGGCTACATTCATTTTTAGGCTACCTGGGTCTAATTTAGGTGTTCTATTAGTGCACCAAAGATTTGTATTTGTCCTTCAGATGACAATTATTTTCCACAGCCTCGGGGCCACAGAGGCCTTTAGATAATACAATTTGCATCTGAAAATTGTTTAATAATTAAGAAGTGTCATTGGTTTTTGTTTTAATCCCACAGATCTCCGAAGCTCAGTACATTATTTTTTATTTAAAAAAAAAAATTATATTTTCTCTTGTTTCAAATTGGGTAATTTCTATCGTTCTTTCTTCAAGTTCACTGATTCTTTTCTCTGTCTAATCCATTATGCTGTTGAGCTCATCCATTGTTTTTATTAGTATTTCAGTTATTGTAGTATTATTTCTAAAATTTTCACTTGGTTCTTCTTTATATCTTTTATTTCTTTCCTGATAATTTTTCTCTTTGCTGAGACTATTTTTTTTCAAGAATGTTTGTAATTGCTCACTGAAGCATTTCAATGATGGCTGCTATGAAATCTTTGTCAGATAACTCTGACATATGTGTCATCTTTATCTTGGCATCTATCGTCTTTTTTTCATTCAAAAAGATTGTCCTGTTTTTCAGTGTGATGAATGATTTTCATTTGAAATCTGGATATTGTAGGTACTACATTATATGACTATGGACCTTCTTTAAACCTGCTGTTTCAGCTGATTTTCTCTAATACCTAGCAGGGGAATTGGGGCACTGACTCATTATTGATAGGTGTGTTCCCTACTCAGCCTCCATTGACACTTGGGGTGAGAGGGAGCCCTTGTTGCTACTGGACATGGTGTGAATTCAGCTCCCTACTGGACCTCCCTTGATGCCTCCCTGTACTGCCCCCACATGGTGTCCACAGGGATGGCAGGGGAAGCTTTATTATCACCAAGTGGGAATGAAATTACCAGTCCTCTGCTCAGCCTTCTCTAACACCACCCTGGCAGGAGACTTGGGGCACCTGTTCGCAGCCTGACAGGGATGGAAGTCTAGGCTCCCCACTGTGTCTTTGCTGGCATGGGGGGGTCATGGTCTTTTCTGTGGTGTTTGGCTGAAGTGGAGCAGTTACTGTTTTTTTCTCTTGCTAGGCTATTCTTCTGTTCCTTTGGCTAGAGAGAGAGAGTTCAGGCCATTTTTAGGGCTTCTTTTTTGTCTGTACTCAGCTTTTCCAGGTTGCGACTTTGTCACTTCCAAGTCTGGGATATGTGAGCTAAAAATAAAACTCAGGAACTCATCACCATGCCGTTCCTTGGGTCCCAAGTACTCTAGTCTGCCTGTCTTCTTTCCAGCTTTCAGAATCTTCCTGTTTGTTTTATATATAATTACCAAGCTTTTAATCTTTACTTAGCGGAAGGATATCTACTTCTTCGTATAAGTGTCTCATTGATTTTTATCTGTTCTTCAAAACACACGCAGACACACGATTACCTCTACGTGAGGCATCTTAGCAGATCTTAATTAAATAGACAGATGCCTCTCACCTTTGCCAGACACAAGTAATACAAAGAAAAACAAGTTACAATACCTAGCGTCTTGGAGAGAGAAAAGAGGCAGCCCGGGTGTAAATGATCCCTAAAAAGTGGTAAATGTTGTAATGGAGCCATAGGTGCCAAGGCACACAAAGGAGGCACTAGGTGCTGCTTGGCAGTATTAGCGGTGCCTTCCCACAGATGGTGACATTCGGGCTGGGACTTGAAGGATCAACTGGAGCTCTGCAGGTGAACAGATGAGGAAAGACAATGTAGCCTCCCTTGGCTTGGATGGATATATTTTTGACATTATGCCATTTACTGCTACTTCTGATATTTTCTACAAGTATCACTGTGGCCAACTTCTACAATTATTTTATTTTTCTTGCTTTGTTATAATAATTGCCCGTTCTTAAAGGAAATGTCAGACTATAAATTCTGCACTAACTTTAAAGGAAATGGCATCCATATCTGTTTCGACTTAGCTTTTTTTCCCAGTTGTTCTTATACAGTATTCCTTTTTTTCTTGCCTTGTCTTGAAAGAGATCCCTCCTTTCACTATTTCATCAATTTAAAACGTGTAACTAGTTAGCACTTCCCCTATTTGAATGGTGAATTCACATGACCATATATGGAAACTCTCTTACTTTCTTCAGTAAAGGCTATTCTTCGCTTCTGAAACGCTAAGCTAAACTTTTATTTATCCCCAATTTTACTGCCATGCCTATGGTCAGTATTTCTTAAATGAGGTAAGTAACTTCCATATAAAATTACATAGCTAGTCAATTTATGCATCACAGGCAAACCACCAAGTGAAACTTAAAAGTACTTTCAAAATATCAGAGGAAAGAGGGTAAACCTTAGGGGGAAGAAGATGCATGTTCAGGTTCCAGTGGGGTAAGTAGATATGTAGAGGACTGTTAAGCCAGTTGGCCTGTTCCTGTTTAAGGAGATAAGACAGGGAAGGAGCTGAGCCACCTACTTCCACAGAAGACACTCTTACCCCTTTGACATTTTTCTCTCATTTACTCAATAACTGTGATGCCCTGCTCTGTGGGTACATGCTTATCTATAATAGAAAATTGCATTTGAACTTTGAAACTAAATATGATTGCACTTCATGCTGAAGCCTATCACAGGAATTTGGTGTGTGGGTGCTTTCACGAGCATTGAGTAAAATTTATCATGGCTAAAGTCCAAGGACATTCTCCCTGGATTTTTGGCCAGTTTCAGTATTTTAAGGTAGGAAAAAGAAATCTACAGAATATAAGAGTCTCTAAGCTAAAAAATGTGGATGTACAAATAAAAGTTGTATTTACAGAAGCTTGGCTGCTTTCCTGTGGTGTGTGTGTGTGCAGAAGGTGGGGGCAGGGATGGGTGGTGGTGTCCCTCCAGGGACTGATACTGAGTGCAAGGGTTGTGGACAATAAACCACAGCTATATTGTTGGAAGGAGAAAAAAGATCCAAAGTTCATTTCAGGTTTACAGAGCAAACATCCATTTCTGAACTGTGACCTATATTCTCATTTTGGGGATTTTAATTACATTTAATCATACTTCCAGGTAAAAAACAAGCAACAGGCACATATAAATATCCTTCCAGTATTTGAAACCAGGGGGAAAGTTTCCAACTTGTAACTTCCATAGATTTTTTTTTACATAACAGTTTTGCATCTATTCTCTTCATTGTGTATAAATAGTGATTGAAGAAAACATAAAGATGTTTACTAGAAATCATGGCCATCCCAGAAACCATAGGTGAATAAAATATGTTTTAGCTTACTAGACACGAAAGAATCTCTAGAATAGGCTGTATATTTACGGGATGCCAAAAGGAAGCAACAACATAAGAAAAGTCCCTTCCATCCCAACAGAGGCTGTTATTTTAAATATAACTTCGTACTTACCCATTGTGGATGAAAAGGGGGTATGTACAAGTTCGGTGACCAAAAGTAATCTCATGGGATGATCTGATCATAAATTCCTAACTGGGCAGATCACACCCCAGGCTATAACTTGTTTAGTAAAATGTTTTAAAGCAAGCCCCGTCCACTCTTCTTGTGCATATGGGTTAACACCCTTAAAAATGACAGGAGCAATCCTTTCCAGACTGCTTGAAGGTGTAACCACCCTCAAGAGAGCGCGTAATCTTGTTAACTTCTTTAGTGAAAGGTTTTAAACCAGCCCTGTCCATTGTTCTTATGCATCTAAATTAAGACATCTTTGAAATACCCCTCAAAGGGAGTATTAACCCTCAAGAGAGCACATAATCTTGTTAACTGTCCTGTAATCCGACCCCACATTGCTTCCTCCCACCTTCCTGCAGTCTTCTGCTCCCTCCTTAACTTCAAATGCATCAAAGAAGCTGCAAACCTGTTATTCTTCAGAGCGTGTGAGATCTTGCTTCCCAGAATATGTCGCCAGTTTGGCTCAAATAAACTTATAAAATTCTCTACAGGTTTGGATATTATGTCAACAATACCCTAGACCCCTGATGCTAGATCCAAATACAGCGCTTACTAAAGACAGTCTGAAACCATAAAAGGAAAGAAAATAATTTCAGGATGGTGGTGTTACAGGTATAAAAGGCTTGCTAGCTTCCACTTGGGGCTTCCAGGGACCTGGCAAGATTGTATCCTAAAGAGAACACATTACCACAGACCTCATAAGGATATTGAGAAGTTCCAAGAACTCTACTATCTACACATTTTCAGCCTGTGTTCTTCTGTTAAATTTGCTAAGACTGTATGCTTTGGTCTTATTCCCCCAAACTGTAATTTTGATGAGATATCAAGACTCTCCTGCTTCACAAGAGCTACAATTCAATACTGGGGGATCCCCCCCCCCC